CCAATTAAACACCCAGTCCCTTTTACTAGCCTGATTAGGCTAGTTAGGGGGCCAAGCCCGAGGGGCCTCGGGGAACGCGTATGCAAGCAGACGCGTTTCCTGGGACCAGCGGTGCTAGGAACCCTATTGTATTTGTAAAGATTTTTATAGTTCTCTATTTTTATTCTTCTGTTGATAAAAGTGGTGCTGCAGGCTAAACCGTGCAAGGGAGGGTGGTGCAATTTGGAGGGTTGATCCAGACCCCTGCACGTACCTCAGACGCAAAAAACTACATATGTCCACCTGCAGGGGGCGCTATAACCAAGGCCAACGCGTTTTGGCCTATAACTCCTACACCGTATGTCGTACATTCAAAAACGTTATATCCCCAGATTCCCTGAATAGAGCTGAATCACTTTGCAATTGGCCACGCCCACTTCCACCTATATTTTTTTTCCGCAAAAACTGGAAAACCTACTTTTTTGAACTCCTCCTTGGGATTTTGTCAGATCTGCGTGAAACTTGGCACGTACACTCTTCACCTGGACCTGATCTAAAGTTATCAAAAGAATTTTGTTCCGTCAAAAATTCTGCAAATTATTAATGAATAAATTTGTGTAGCTAGCTATAAAAATGTAAACTGTTGCATATCTCAGTCAAACTTAATGCTATCAACACCAAATCTCAGATCCTTAGTTGGCATGACACTGTGAAGGTATGAGCCGAATTTGGCGAATGTTGGCCACTAGGAGGCACTACAAATATGGGAAGTTTATATCTCTTAAACGGCTACACCCATTTCTACGAAATTCGGTCAGTATGATGTAGGGCCATTCCTGAGGCCATGTATTGAAGGTGGTCATGACTGGTCAATGTGGGCGTGGCTTATTATAGGATAAACAACAAACATTTACTACAGCTGAACTATTATGCTGAGGGCTGTGAAATTAATAGGGTACATATAGAATAAGACACAGATATTCCATACCAAAAATTGTGCATATGCTAAACTAGGTGGTGCTATAAAGGATGCAAACACGTATTTGAATGTAACTTCCACATTTTAAATGACACATTCATAAACATTATATCCATGTGTTCCCTGAATAGAGCTGGGTTTTCTGACACAGGCCCCGCCCACTTCTGCTGCACATTCTCCTTGCTAATTCGCCACATGTCCAAAACCTACTTTTTCGAACTCCTCCCACAGTTTAAGCACCACCTGTATGAAACTTTGCACATAGCATCTCCAGATGTGTCTGATCAAAAGTTATCAAAAGAATGTTGGCACTCCAAAAAATGCGCTAGTTATAATCAAACTATTTTTTTGCTAGCTGAAAAACACATATTGTTTCATATTTTGGTCAAAATAAATGCTTTCAACATCAAACTTAAGTCACTTGTTCCTGAGGTCATCAAGAGGCTCTATGCCAAATTTGGTGTAAATCGGCTAATGGGGGGCGCTAAAAACCTACAAACATCAAGTCTCAAGTACAAGATTTGAACAAAATTTGGTGAGTGTGATATGGGGTCACTCCTGAGGCCGGACATAAAGTTAAGTAATGATTGATCAAAGTGGGCGTGATTTATTACAACAAATCCAAATCACCACACTTTCAGCCTTTCACACTTCCAGTGCACTTCCCATTATAGCAAATACCGCGGCTCGGACGTCGGCCCGCGTCCCTGTGCTTGCCCTGAGCCCGTCGTGCTTCGGGGCCGGCTTCCGTGGGCTCCGTGGGGCACGGGGGCCGAGTTGCGCGGGGAGGCTTGGCCTCCGTTCAAGTGCTTGCAGTTCTAGTTCTTTTTTGTTTTTTTTGTACAAGTTGGATGTCAAAAACTGGGTTGTTGGCTACCTCAATTTATGTGTCCATTCTTTGATTACCCAGTTAGTCATATTCCTTTTGTCTATATGGGTCCTCAGATCAAAAGAATCAAAAGGGGTTTTCACAAAAATCAATCCAAATTGTGAGTATTGTTTTAACAGTATAAAGTGGTGTTGTAGTATGCAGGGTGCCTTAACCCTGGAGTGCCATAACTCTCTCCCTCTGAAAAAAACAACAATGTATTTGTGTGTCTCTTGATATTTTCTGATTTCGCCACCCTTTTCTTTGTTTCTCAGTTACAAACCCTTTTTTCCAACTGAAGACATAAATCTTAAGCAACAGCTCACAGATATATCATTTCATTTTCAAAAAAGATTCAGTATTTTCCTAAAGCAGCTGGCCACTGTAGTTTAGGACATTGCATTCATTTGGAACAAACAGATCCTGTTATTGTTTTTCCAATCTATAATATTAAGTGTTATGCAGTATGGAATCAGAGCATGGTACAGTTGTTTCTATGTTCAGCTTAAACCTACTGTGGTGAGACTGCTGCGTGTCTGCTCAAAGATTGTTGGTCAAGCGCTTGAGTTAAGTTTCCAAACTGTGTATTCCGCTGTGCCTGGTTGGTAAAATTACATCAGACCCCTCTCACGCATGATTTCAAGAATATGAGCTTTTTGCCATCACACAGAGGATTCAGAGTCCCACCGGCTCTATTGAACAGGTTGAGAAGCTCATTTGTTCCTCAGTCTGTCAACCTATTACATCAGAGTATGGCTTCTAAGTAGCCTGGGTCAACACTGGATGTAATAGGTCATGACAAATGCGTTGCATTTTTATAATGTTTGCTGTGATTTGTATCATTTGTTGTATGATTTTGTTGTTTGGTTAAATGTTGTTTTGTTTTTTTGTATTTATGTGAAACTGTTGACATCTTGGTACACAAAGAAATCTAAAATTATTTTCCCTGTCAATAAAGTGAAATCAAACATTACTCAAACAGGAGGAAATAGTACATTTATTGGGAAAAAAAATTCTGTGGCGAATTAATCCGCATTTGGTGCCAGTGAGTATTTGGTGCAGCAGGATTGTGTATTTATTTAAAATAAATCACAGTGTGTGTTCATGGTAATGAAGGAACATGTTTGCCAGTGCAACAGTGTGACTAACTAAAATGTGAGTTTAACAACAGTGGAGCTCTATGGCACAGAGGAAGAAGAAACATCAGGCAGTGGATCAGGTTAATAATTTAAAATAAAAATAAAAGTACACTGTAATCATCAAATCTGACCACAAGCTGGATGAGCATCATTATTGTATTGTCATGTATGGATGCAAGCAAGCAAGAACACGAGTATTCAGCCTTTACCCATGTTATAAATGTTTTCAACCTAGAGTTTCATGTAGAGTATGTGCACTTCTCATTGAGATCAGCACCACTGGTGTCTAACACAAACCCTCCATCTCTGATTTTGCCATTTCCATCTGTGTTTGACATCTGACCAGCATGTACAACTTTTGATAGCACCAAAGGACTTTCAATCTAGTTGTATCTTTTTTTTTTTTTTTTTTTTTACAAAGAAACTAGTTCATATCTTCCAGCTGGTGTAAAGCCTGTCACTTTGTTGCCAGAAGGGATTTATTCATATTTGATGAATAATTAAATATAATTAGAAAGTGTTCCTCCCACCTCCCCCACACACACTAACATTTGTCAACAATTAGTCAGGCAGTTGTATCACATTCTGTATCTTTTTCTACCAAGTTGCTCTTTCATCACATATTAAAAAAAACATAGGTAATTGCAGTAACATGTTACTGTTACTGTTAGTCCTATTATACTACAGAAACATGCGGTGTAGAGTTAGACTTTATTTAGAAAAATGAGAGGACAAATGACTGAAAGTCATCACACACAGACACTCGTTGCAGCATATGTCAAAAGTCCCACTGTGAACAGCTTCATAGTCTCTAAGAGGAATGTGTATCTCTTACTCAAAATGGTTTTGCAGTTCATTCCAATAGTGAGGGGCATTGTACTGAAAACCAGTCTGTCCCAGTTCAGAGCTAGTATGAGGAACTGCAATAAAAGCTTTTTTTGCCACTTGGGGGCAGCAGAAACAAACTCTGAACACAACATTAACATGTCACTTCCTTCTAATCTGAAATGGTGAACTTATTAGCAAACAGAGAGACATTATCATTCATGTGTGCTGTTTGTGCCCACCCCATTGATCAAAATTCAATAATAATAATGTTCACCAGCAGTACTTTAACTGTGTCTTTCTGCTGCTTAGCAGGTAGTGTACAGTGGCTTTGTCAGAGCTTTTTCACTGAAAACAGCTGCTGCTGCTGCTGCTGCTGAGAACAACACAATAAGAGTGGTGAGACTGATCCAAAACAGCAAAGGTGTAGACTGGACACCTTATACATATATATAAAACTGCACTGCCTGCACTGTCTATATTTATGCCCATGCATTCCACTATTCTGGAAATGGGAGGATGACTGACAGACAGGACTGATCACATGTATGAGGCAGTCTATCAACACACTGACAACATATTGCAGGCAGCGACCTGAGGCCATAACATGGCACAGTGTTTTATGGCCATGTGTCCTGGAGGCTATGTGCCCCACATATTATCGCAGTACGGCTCTGTTGTGCTATCAGGGGCGTTCACACACACACACACACACACACACACACACACACAGATGCGCGCTACCCGTGCGGAAAATAGGTTTTTAGCACACTTGTGACGTCACGCCCATCGATCGACATTGGTTTGCCTTCAAAGGTTGTATATTGATCAGATGAATCACTCTGTTGGTGAATACAGGTGCTAAATACTGGGCTGGAGGTGGGTTTTAAAGGGGCAGATCACCCAAATACAAAAAAAAAAAAAACCAACAGAAAAAAGAAAAATTAGCCTATATTAGCCTATTAGATTTGTAGAAAATTATAATTCTACCATCAAAACAAATGTTAATCTCCATTGGAAATAAAAGGCTAGTTAAAACCTTACTAAGGTTTGCACAAGTGTTGTTTAAAATGGGATTACTGATTGGAGAGGAGACTACTGAGAAATAGTCCAATGGTTTTATTGTGAAAATCGTGACAGGAAATCTTATTGGTTATTGTGGCTGCTTTAACGGCGATCACCTGCTGCAGCAAAGCAGAGCTGGAGGAGAGCGAGTGGACCAGCATCAGTGAGGTACCCGGGGGGTGACCGAAGGAATCTTCTCCTCTCAGCACCGTAGACATTATCAGGATGCATTTTAATGTCAGCACACAGGGTGGACAGTGTGAGGGGAGACAGTGCCAGTCCTGCGCTGGCACTATTTTTTGAAGCCCAAAAACCGCATTTTAGGGGGCCACGGACAAATCACAGTAACAGCCGTCGACACCTCCCGCTCTCCTCGCCGGGCGATGGAGGTCTGCCGTTAAAGACTTGGGGGTAGGGGGGGACCGGAGTCTGTCGGAATTTCGCCAAAATTACGACGGGAATCAAGTACAGCTCCCTGTCTCCCGGTAACGGGAGAGTTCACCGGCCGCTCGTGATGTCTCGTGCCAAGGAGCGGCTGAAAGGCGGGAATGAGACCAAGGACAGCGTCACTCTGCTGCCGTGCTTTTATTTTGTAGAGGTGAAATATCTGTCTATCTATCTATCTATCTATCTATCTATCTATCTGTCTGTCTGTCTGTCTGTTTGCCTGTCTGTTTGTCTATCATTTTGCAGAGGTGCAAATGGAAGTGAGTGGTTGGCAGGCTGTGTGATATGGTTGACTGATAAATTGGTTAACTAAATGGTCAGATGGTCTGAGGAAGCAAGCACACTGAATACCACCATCAGGTTAAACTGATGATGCAAATAAATATTAAGTTATCATTCTGGATTCTTGATCCTAAAGATGCTGTGTGCTATTGAGATGCCACATAACAATGAGCTAGACAGGCTTTAATCCTGGCATCAAGAAACCCATGCAGTTTGATAGCAGTGATGCTGAGAATCTGTATTCACTTCGTCCCTGTTTACCCTGTTTTTTTTGCAGCCAATGACACTGCAGTCTCCACAGGGTATTATGATTCCTAGTGTATACACATAACATTTTGTGTGGCATGATGCAAAGATAAATATGTCCAATACGTGCAATGCCTCATCATTTGTGTATCATCAGTCAGAATGCATAGATAGGAAAAAGGTAAGGAGAGCCACAGTGTTTAATGGAGGCTGTGAACGACACCAGCTATCCAAATATGAACATGCACTTCAATTTCATGCCACACTAACACAGTTTAGACACAATATCCATTTAATCATCCATATTAAGAAGCGATTGGCCACAGTTTAGCCTGTCCCTGTCAGATCACCGTGTTCCACTGACTCTTTCATAGTAATTGTTCCTTGCCCCAGGACCAACATTGATGCTGCATTTAGTTCATACGCCCCCAGACTACGAACAGCCCTCCTGTAGGCTCCACAATGTGCACTTCTTTCAACATTTTAAATTATATTAGAGTTATTGCTATTAGTAATGGTAGTGGCTGTTAGGATCACATTTCCAGTACTATGGTAGTGTGATATTTAAATATGAACACACACAGATATGAGGTGCTGTGATTTAGCAGTGTGTTCCGAATCAAAGAAAGAAATGTCTTTTCTTACATCTTACAGATGTAAGATGTGACATTTCTACCTTTAAATGTCTAAAACCTACTAGACCTATAGGCCTAATATATATTTTGTTGAGTTGTGTACTGACATAATCTTGATGTTTACAACAGTGTTCAGGCCCAGAGAAATCTGTAATTTTATTCATGGTGTGTTTCATTTGGTCCCATGTCAGTGGCATCACATCCCCTTCACCCCTCTAGTGGCTCTAACCTCCAGGGAAACACGGGAAACACCAGCTGATACATCATATAAATCATACCATTTCACAGAATTTACTTGATAATTATAGGGGTAGGAATCACCGGAGGATCCACCATACAATATTATCACGATACTTAAGTCACGATACAGTATTATTTTAATTTTGAATATGTTGTGATATGATGAGCATTGCTATAAAATGTATTGTGATATATTGCAATTTATTACCTTTTATCATTTGTAAACTATGTCCCCAAAACTTTGTCAACATATGTTTTATCTAATAAGACAAAGTTTTCAGTCTGTTCGTCTCACCTTAGCCATGTTTTTACAGCAGTAAAATGTATGTAGTGGATTAAATAAGCAATTGGTTACATTATTCTAGCAAGCTACCCAAAGTTTAATTTGCATTTGTAATATTAATAATTTATACAATAAAAAATTAATACTATTAAGACCATATTTGGGCGAGAGGCTGGTGCTGTGGAGGAGCGAGGGGCAGATCTAACTGAGAACAATAAGAATATAATAGTAAATAATAATAATGAGTTCTATGAAATTTCGCCCCCGCAAAGTTGTCATGAAGGGGGAAATTAGTTGTAGAGTCCAAAACTGCTCTTTATACCAGGCTGTAAACATGTTTTTTTCTGCTGTAAAGTTGGACATTCAAACATGGGGGTCTGTTGGGATTGACAAACTTCTGGAGCCAGCCTTAAGTGGCCATTCAAAGAACTGTAGTCTTTGGCACTTCTGAGTTGGCTTCATTTTTAAGCCCTGGAGGTTGCCGCTTGACTATGAGTCAAAGTCAAAAGTCAAAGTCAATGTATCTTTATTGTCCCTTTCAGAGAAATTGGTTATCAGCCAGGAAAATACACAAAACATACAACATACAAAACACTGATGGACAAAAACACATAACATGACATAATGGGAAGATTCTAGGAGGCTTTAAAAATAAAAATAAATGAAGATTAATAGGAAAATAATCAGCATCAAAGTGCAAAGTGCCAATGCAAAGTGCAGATTCCAGCAGCCTGAACAATCTGTGCAAATAGACATAAGCACATAAACAATTTACAGACTATCTGCTATTCAACAATTGAATGGCTGAAGGGACAGAGGAAACCTTAAATCTCTTTGTCCTAAGAGCAGGCACCTTCCACCGACAGCCTGAAGGCAACAATACAAATTCAGAGAGAAGGGGGTGATTTACACACTCCAAAATAGAAGAAGCCTTCCTGACCACTTGCCTACTATACAGATAGATCAGTAAGTTGGGCTTGACTCCTCCCTGAAGCCTTACTGGCCACTTTGACAAGAGGCTCATACCAGCCCTCAAGCTAATGCATGCAGTAAGCTAACGTGTACAGTAACATTATACATAACGTTACAACAACAGTGTTTTCCCTTAGACTATATATAAAGATGGACGACGTGTCTCCATGTGCCCCCACAGTACAGAAGCGGAGCTAAAACATCTTGATTACGGCAGCTGCCATCTTGCTCTGGTGACATCATTTAGAGCCAAAGTCTGCGCAGTAGTGATCTCTGCAGAATCAAGTCTCCTGCCCATACACCCATCCGACTACTTGCTAGCAGTGCCACTGAATGGCTCACACAGTTGTCAATCACATTGTAAAATCCCAGTGTTATAGCATTAAATAACTAATTAAAATCAAATCTATCAGAAAAACAAACACGGACAGAAACCATCTTTGGGAAAAAGTTATTTGATGTGCACTTTGTGTTTTTAGTTTGGCCCATGTCCCATCCACTAACATGGAGGGGGCAGGCTTTATGACTCATACTGCAGTCAGTCACCATCTTTATATACAGTCTATGTTTTCTATACATTGATTTATTTGTGATAGCCCGCTACAATATCCACATTGACTGCCACATATAGATTTTTTTTTATGGAGCCTTGAGCTGCTCTGGTGAGCAAGTGGAGCTGCATATCAAATGTAAGGCAACAGATGTCATTAAGGTTGTAATAAACATCACAATCAAATACGCTGAAGTTGCAAGAACACCCAGCATTTCCGCTAGTAATGTTCTTTTGTAAGTAATAGTAGTTACTGGATGTAATTTCAGTTCAGAACTGCAAGGAGAAGAAGAGGAAGTGAGACGGCTCCTGGACGAGGGTGTAAGACATGATGAATGTATCATAGTTTATAAAAATGCAGTGCAAAGATGATACAGACATTTTATAAACTAAATGTATAAATCCCACAAACCTGCAGATCTGCATGTCGCCCTTTTGACATGATCACATGACTCAGCCATCCCATCATTCTGTTTGTCACTGTGAGTTGGGACCTCAGTCTGCAGCGTAGTTCATATACTTGAATGATAAACCAGAGAATTATACAGTAACATTTGGTTTTATGATCAAAGGAAATTTTTGCATAGCATCAACCTAACCTGAACTCTAACCCAGTCTCCCTCTCTCCCTTTTTTTTTTTTAAAATCCTTTTTAATCCTTTCTCCACTCCCCTTTAATTTATTTTAGCCAACCCTAGCTTTTTATGGAGCTTTTGTAAGTATTGTATACTCCCTTTCCTTGAGCCCGTACCCCCGCAAGTCCTGTCACACTGCGACGAGCTTTGTGTCCCCTGCAAACCTAACCTTAACCTGTGTAATGGCAGCAACAGAAAGTTTGCTGATCTGGCAGGGAGTGGAGCAGTCTGAATTTGAGTTGCTACAGGGCGCTCACTGAAGGTCAGTGTAGAGAAAATGGTTTTACAGTGTACAGTGACAGCCATGCTCTGTTCACCACTTGGATTCTCCCCCTGATGATGCAGACAACCATGGACTGAGCAGCACCAAGACAATCATGTTCAACTAGAGTCTGACTTCCTGGTCTCAAAGGATTACATGGTATGGATAATCAAAGGTCTTGGGAGTGTACCGAGTCTTGCTTGCTGCTGCTCAGCTCCTGCTTGCATCATCAAGTGTTAAATTTGGGGTTGAAGTGGTTTAATTTAAAGCAGCAGAAGGCAAAATATCCCTTTGTCCTTAATGTAGGTCAAGCCCCACCACCACTGATCCTTAACATCCCATAATGCAACTCAATAGCACCTTTTATTAGAAACTCCAGATGGGAATGGAACATACTGTATATGGAACATTTTCCTGGTCTGTGTAACTTTATGTCACAATATGGATATATACTATATAGTTTGGGATACATTTAATGAAAACTCAATAGAGATACCATATACAGAGAAATAACCAGAAATAGCACAGCTTTTTTTTGCCGGTGTCTGACGTTGAAAGTCACTGACCAGTCGCAGGACCAAGCTTCCATAACCCTGATGGCATTATCAGAGTTCTTTGCTCTGAGTTGAAAAAAGCTCCTCCAGTGTAGTAGCTACTTACCGTGACTAGAAAATTTGCAATGACATGTAAAATTGATGACGTGTCTTATTAACAGGGTTCCCCATTCCGCAAGTATGGAAAAGTATGGAAATAAATTTGATCAATTTCCAGGTATTAAAAAGTATGGAAAAATATTTATGTTTCCAGACTATTACCACTGTTCTAAAATACTGTTTTCTAAAATAGAAAATTAGGTATTTCCAAAAATAATTTAATCAATCCGGATTGTGTTTTATGTTTACTCTCACACAAACTGAGCTTGGCCAGGCCAAGCACAGTTTGTGTGAGAGTAAACGTCTCAGAAAACATACCACCCCTTTTACCTGATTGACAAGTGGTATGTCCAGTCCGCTGCCCCATGACCCTCCTCCATCCCTCCAGGTATCA